GAACTTCATCCTGCATTACGAAACATCGATGCAATCGATAGAGTCATAGTATTAATGTAACAAGTGAGCATTGCAGCTCTTAGGAGTAACGGGCGCCATTTTGTCTTCGCCAAAGGACGCTGGGACGCTAAAACGTTGTAACGGATATCTTAATAACGTTCCCCAGATAGCTTTAAGGTAAACGAACCTTGACAAATGATGCTTTAATTCATATTGATTTATCTGAAGGAGAAGAACCTGAACTTCTCCTCCCGTCGGAAAAGCGCGATATTCAATTTTCCGGAAATAAAACGGCAAGCTTCATCTCTTTACGCTATATACCACAAGAACTCCCATTTTTAGAAGTAGAATCGTTGTTTCTTCATTTTCGAGAGCTAAAAACAAAACCAAACCATATTATGATATGACGTATCATGAAATATGACCTAAACAAACGAAGCAATATTATATTTATCGTAAGTAGAAAGATAAGGAGGTTAGGAAAAACGGTGCTTCCCCAAAATGTCTGCACAATCGCTTCAAAAAGCTCAAGAAAATAATTTAGGGAAGTCTGGAGGGAATATTTGTCTAGAGGAATGATTTTGATTTTACTGTATTATTACCAAATTGATAGGTAAATAATGTTTTATTATGCATGGCACGTAGGTCGTACGTGGACTATCATTACTCCTATTATGTAGGATCATGAAATCCCGTATTCCATTCCGTACAAAATACACGCAGATTCATTGCTACCAGGGAGTTGAACGAAGAAAACTGTTAAATAGAGAGTACCCTAACCTAACTCCGCCCTGTAATATTATATGAATATTATAGGGATAATATACTAAAGTAAACGTTTTGCAAATATTTCAAATGTCTGGTAAATATTAACAAAATGTACGATATTCGTTAAATATATAGAAGATATAGGAGAAATATTTTCTGCTACTAGGGAGTTGAACGAAGAAAACTGTTAAATAGAGAGTGCCCTAACCTAACTCCGCCCGTCCTACAAACAGCGGGGAAGTGTTTCAATTCTTCACGTGCTATGCCTATAAAAGTCGTATAAACATTTGTAGAAACCCTCCTCGGTTCTTCTGAATGATCTCTGTGCTACTGGAATTCAGCCAGACATTTATCTATCCGTAAGACGTCCTGCCTTTTCTTATAGGACATCTCATAAGAGGTTAATGTCCGCCATATAAGAACGTTCCAATGCACGAACGGTGTTCACGTGTGTACAGAAACAGTACAGCCGGCTAACAATTAGTGAGCCAATTAAACAGGACGTGATTCACGTCAGCGGAATATGTTAAGAAGAGCTACGAGAAATCCACTTTTAGTTTAGGAATCAACTTCAGACTGACTATCTGATCCGTGGCCCCATCACTTCGCCTTATAAATGCAATTTCGTCCTCTAACGGCGTAAGAACCGAAAGTATAGCTAATAGGGCACATCGATGGCACCTAAAGCAACAACTTTCGTCAAAGACATTTGCCTCCATCAGTCCTCTAAACCGCAGAAACGTAGGCCAAAGCCAATTCCGCCCCCCTTAAGCCCGGCCAGATCCTCCTAGCCCATCTCGTTGGCCTAACAAGCGGCGTTCCAAGGAATTAGCTCGAAGCGTATTTACACGGAAAACAAAAATAGCAGTTAGCATAAACATCCGCGGGCAAAGAGGTGTTCGAACCTTACTCAGTGCCGAAAACCGCACACGAGCGTCATCATCGTCATTGAGAGATGGCGCAGCACCCTTAAGGTGAAGTGAAACACCTCGAGGAACTTTATCGACGTCGATAAAGATTTTTCTAACTGCCTACATTGTCGACATTGGTTTTTATGTTGACAGCTGGGAATTATATCGAGTATTGCACCAAATGGCATACTCCACCTGTCGTTTTCCTACAATAATTATAAAGAAATCGAAGTAAAACTCCAGAAATCCTCTGGATTCATGGTTTCCGAGGCCCTAATTGACTGCAGCGGGACACCCTGCGCCATCTGTGATTTCCAGGTCAATTAAATTTTCACTCCGAGACCTCGTATGCCTATCATTTTAGCATTGAAACGCATAAGACACTTTTTTTCCCTTTATTCCCCTGAAATGCGGATTTATCGATTACCAGAGTGTTCTAAATTGTCATAAAATTGTCCTGACATTTTCGTTTCTCATATTAGAGCTTTCAGTAATTGGAAAGAGATCGAAATATGAGAGCTCGACGTTATTTTGGTTCTGAGCTAGACTAAGTTAACAATTTTTTTTGTATTGAAAATTAAAATTTTCAGGGTCGGACAATTCTTAGATGATGAGATTATCCATTTTAGATTTCAAGAACCACTTTGCCCCATTCTGAATAACACGTATAAACTGTAAAGTGGCGAATAAGCATACTAAGCTCGACTAAAATCCCGGAGAAAAAAGGAATAACACGTATAAACTGTAACGTGGCGGATAAACGTACTAAGCTTGACTAAAATCCCGGAGAAAAAAGGAATAACACGTATAAACTGTAACGTGGCGGATAAACGTACTAAGCTCGACTAAAATCTCGGAGAAAAAAGGAATAACATGTATAAACTGTAACGTGGCGGATAAGCGTACTAAGCTTGACTAAAATCCCGGAGAAAAAAGGAATAACACGTATAAACTGTAACGTGGCGGATAAGCGTACTAAATGAACCGTCGCGATAATCCGTGTAAGTCCTTCCGTCCATACCTAACCTAAAAGACTTATAAGTGCCTCGTTGGTGCCATACAAAAACTCATAGCTCTCCAGTTCTAAATCCCAACGATTTATCGCAAAAAAACCAACCACCTCCGATCTAGCTTTCAGGCAGTCCAGAGACTGAATGAACGCTCGACTAAAATCCCGGAAAAAAAAGAATAACACGTATAAACTGTAATGTGGCGGTTAAACGTACTAAGCTCGACTAAAATCCCGGAGAAAAAAGGAATAACACGTATAAACTGTAACGTGGCGGATAAGCGTACTAAACGAACCGTCGCGATAATCCGTCTAAGTCCTTCCGTCCATACCTAACCTAAAAGACTTGTAGGTGCCTCGTTGGTGCCATACAAAAACTCATAGCTCTCCAGTTCTAAATTCCAACGATTTATCGCAAAAAAACCAACCACCTCCGATCTAGGTTCCAGGCAGTCCAGAGACTGAATGAACGCTCGACTAAAATCCCGGGGGAAAAGAAGCGCGCACTTCGCGCCCCTCCCTGGCCTTATCACTTCGCAGGACGTGGGCTCGGTTTTACGCGACTCCTAAGTCGCGGCGATTGGCTCGTCGTCAGTTGGCAGCAGCTTCCAATTGGCCGCAAGGGCGACGCCCGCCAACCGGGCCGAAGAGTCCTGGCGCCGCGACGACTCTCGCGTCGGACAAGAACCGCCGAGAATGAGGCTCCACCTCCCAGATATAACCTAACCTAACCTAAGAGTCGCCGAGGCTTCAGGGGTCGTGAAAAGCCAGAAAGAGGGAGAGACCGCCATCGGGCACGTAGGTAACCCTCTTTCCTTCTCTGAGAAAGACTTCTCCCCCTGCTGGAGGGAGGGAGACGGAACGTGTCCCTCCGACCGTAGTCGGTTGTCGGACGGAGACGGAGATACCTCCTCGCCTACTAGCGACGCCGAGTTAGAGAAGGATGCCCTCACCGCGCCAAGAGGAGGCCCCTGCTACCAGACGGAGACGCACCATTCGAATGGACGAGTGAGGCGCTTAATTCGGGAAATAAGTCCCCTGGCGCAACAAGCGCACTTGATCGAAGCACACTCGGCCGGATGGTCGCCGACTTCCGCGGCTTTGGGGAGCCTTTCGATCCACGGTTAATCCAGGACGTGGAGGCGCCATGGACTTCGACATGGCGGAGGGAACGTGAGCTGGTGGGAATCGATCATTTTTATATACCAGTTAATATTTGATATACTAAATCTGGGATTGTTTCCCAGCAAACAAGACACTTTTGAAGAATTAAACAACAACAAATCCTGACTTTTTCGCTGGACTTATCGCTGGTATGTGTGCCGGTGGGATCTGATCATTTTTGTAAACCACATAATATTCTGTAATAATATTTGATATACTAAATCTGTGGCAGAAATTAGGGTGTGTTTTTCATCAAACAAGAGGATCATCGTGGCAAAGACTGGCTTTCAAGAATTAAACAACTACAGATCGTGGGGTTAAATAGTCGGTGGTCCTTCGACGTACGTTATGGCGTGCATTTTGTTTAGATTAACAATGCTGGGGGTAAAGGTGTTAAATAAATGTTTGGTGGCAGACTTGTGGTGATGGCGAGTGGACACTTCCAGAAACAACCGTGCAAGTGTTGGTTTTCTGTGCTGGGTGGAAGAAGTTAGCCCTTGTAGGTGTTGAAGAAGCTGCTATTGTTGGAGCTTGAGATGAGCTGGGACACGGAGTCAGGTGTTTATGGAATAATTCATAAAGGTGGATGAGAGTGAACTTTGAGTCCTGATGGCGTTTTGTTGAAAGTGGAGCAACCGAATGTTGCAGTTTACCTGAAGATCATATTTGGCTAGTTGAACGAGTGGACCAGAAGCAATCCTTCGATATCAGCGATATTCTGATATTTTGTCATATTGCAATTCCTGGTCTGCTATCACTGACTAGTACTTCAGCTACTAAAGGCGTTTTGTTGAAAGTGGATCAACCGAATTTTGCAGTTTACCTGAAGATCATATTTGGCTAGGTGAACAAGTGGACCAGAAGCAATTCCTCGATATCAGCGATATTCCGATATTTTGTCATATTGCAATTCCTGGTCTGCTATCACTGACCAGCACATTGGCAGAAATTGGATATCAAGCTTAAACTATCCCGGCATGGAATAATGTCGGATCTCTTCAACATCCTTGATTCCCCTGATAGTTCATGTGCCGTTAAAAATACTGAAGTTAGGAAACTTCTTTCTGGCTCGTTGGAATCGCTTCTCAAAACGGTTGGAAGGGCAACCTAAATCCTGAAAGGGAAGTCTGGACTGTTCTAAAATTATTTCCAATTTATTGGATCGTTATCGAAGCTCCGCAACAATGGAGGAGATCAGGAGAGGGGATCTTCTAGACTCTGCGAAGCAATCCCAACATTTGCAACCGACTCCCTTCAGCATTGCTGACATTTTGAACAGAACTAATTCACCTTCCGAGCTGGAAAGACGAAGATTCGAGGTGAATGATTCCAAGGAAGGTGAAGAGTGCTCCCAGGGAGAGAGCAAGGATGAGAATTGCCAGGACGATGTCAGGATCCTGCAGGACTCCCAGCTCTTCCAGAATTGCAGATTGTCTTCGAGAGATCTGAATGTCTCCAGGGAGCTGGATATTTTGAGAAGGAATCTTGCTCAAGCCAGCTTGTCCAATTTTAGGGGAATTCCGGGTTTGGCGACGAATAATGTCGAGTTTGTCGAGTCTTTGGGTCCTGTGGCTGGGGCTTATCAGGTCGGTGATAACAGGGACTCCATACACAGGCAGCAGGACAAGGCCTTGGACATGAGCAAGAGCAAGTACTTTGGTGAGCATTTCGCCGAAATTTCCTGGAAATAATTATTTCACGATATTTTGTGATAATTCGAAATTATTAATCATGGTTATTCATTCTTGATTACAGCACTCCATTAACCTCTTATATATTTTTTAAGCGTTTTTCTTGCGGATTGGAAGCGAAGCGCAGTCCGACGCTGCAGGAGTATAGTCTAAAAATTGTATCATGAAGATTAATGCGTTTCTTAAGTCGTCATTAATTTTATTCTCTTGATTTGAAACGATGAAATATTTATTTTCAATAATCTCGGATTTTATCGTGAAATTATTTGTGGAGCTTTTCTTGGGAATCGTGAAATCCGTCGGACGACGGAAACGTGTCTTAAATGTTTTATTAGTTATCATTTAGCGTTTGGTTTGGTGTTAATGAAAATTGAAGTCTCTTAAATTATTAGAGAAATGGTATTCCATAAATTCACAGATAGGGCGGAAAATTGGAAAATTATGAAAATGGTACATTTATTATTTAGCGTTTGATTTGGTATGAAAGAAAATTGAAGTTACTTGTGTTTATTAGAGGTATTTCATAAATTCACATATAGGGCGGAAAATTGGAAAATTGTCAAAATGACACATTTATTATTTAGCGTTTGGTTTGGTATGAAAGAAAATTGAAGTTTCTTGAGTCTGATAGGAAAAAGGTATTTCATAAATTCACAGATAGGGCGGAAAATTGGAAAATTGTGAAAATGGCACATTCATCATTTAGCGTTTGATTTGGTATGAAAGAAAATTGAAGTTACTTGTGTTTATTAGAGGTATTTCATAAATTCACAGATAGTGCGGAAAATTGGAAAATTGTGAAAATGGCACATTTATTATTTAGCGTTTGGTTTGGTATGAAAGAAAATTGAAGTTTCTTGAGTCTGATAGGAAAAAGGTATTTCATAAATTCACAGATAGGGCGGAAAATTGGAAAGTTGTGAAATGACGCATTTTTTATTTAACGTTGCATTTCAGGTTAGGTAAGAAATAGTAATCATGCGTAAGCTGAACGGCGCTTAACGAGTCGAGCTACTTCCCTCTCTCTCGTGGAGTGCTTTCATAACGGATGGGATTTTCAAGGGTTTTTAAAGTTAACCCAGGCACTGATAATGCGATTGAATGTAATTTTAGGAGCATAAGTGGTCCTTGACTGGGCAGACGTAGCATCTACTGCTCTACCTACCACTTAGGCTCTTTTGATCACAGACAACATTGTGGTTCTTCAGACTTTATTTGTCTCCAGAAATGTCCCCTGCACGGAAACTCGGCCTTGTGATTTAATCTCCATTTTATCTTCCCTCAAATACCTAAAAAAAAAAAAAATAGCCCAATCCTGAATTCACTTTACAAGCTGTAAAAAATCCCTCTTGAAAGAAGAGACTTGCACTGTGTAAAATTTTTAAAAAATTACACTTCCAGCACGCAAGGTTGCAGTGAAATAATTAATTTCAGGTCTTAAATGGGAATTAATGTACTTTATAAATTTCCGAATACTTTTAACAGTATATAGAAAGTTGTACAAAAAATTGGAGACGTTTTAGAGAATGCTGGAATTATGATTTTATTTCTTATATATGTATGAGATGTGTATATTGAAAATTAGGTAGGGGAAGTGTAATGGTATTAATACTTGCAAAATACAGTTAATGCTCCCTGTTATGTTCACCACTCGAAATATAAAGGATTTCATTCCTGGAAGATCGAGTTATGGTGCTCTTATTCCGAGAGGATGACATAATGGCGATCGGGAATACTTGAAAGCATCTCTCTTCTCTCTTAGACGCACACTGATAGATGCATATGTCTCTTTTCTCTCTGTACATGGTATGCGGTACTAAAACGGTAAAGGACAGGTATTAAATTTCATTATGAAGGAGGGTTCTTGTCCATTCGGAAGTAAACGGTCCCTCGCCCTGTGTGTACTTTTCGCCCTCGTGAATCAATCATGACTTAGCTTCTATGATGTTTGCACATATCGTATGTGCCTAATCAAGGGTATGTGTCTGTAATCACCCCTAAAGTAATGTAACTGACTCTTAGGGATCACCCTATTTATCCAGATTACGGTTTACTTGGTCTTATTCACTTCTACGAGTCGTGGTAAACCCTTTAAATCGTTAATCAACGCGAGGACTGTAAAAATGTAAAGAAACTCGACTGAGTTTCACGCCAAATGCATTTCGCGATTTTCTGAAAGTGAATATATAAAATTATAAAAAATATTCCTGATCTTTGGGGTGATGAAGAATAAGTACTGCATTTGAATTCTTTGAGTTGGCGCTATTTTCGTTCACTTGGCAATTTATTCGGAAAGAGGTATTGATCGTTCATGTCGCACCGAGAGAAATATCTCATTGAACCAAAGAAATATATTGTTAATTCGAAGAATCATTATTCGACACAAATAATCTCGATTCAATTGAATGCAACGTTTTTTTCTTTTTTTTTTCGGAATTATGACAATTTATTTGGATTTATTTGAATTAACAACACATTTCTGTGGTTCAATGAATTCTTTTTTTTTCTTAGGGGGTATTCCGAGTTGTAATTAGCTAATGTACCATCGCTGTTATTAGGAAGCGATGCTTTGGCACTTTCTTATTTCTTTAATGTGATGAGTAGGTCCTTGGTACGAGTTGGTACCAACTCGTTCAATGGTGCACTCAGTAAATTGCAAGCCGCCATTTTGGAGAACCGGGTGTACTCCGATATCGTAATTGGCAATCCATGGATTGTACGAAGATTTAATTAGTATCGCTTATTAAATTAATACCTGAGTTACGTAAATAGTATGCACTAGAAGAAAGTATTGTCCGATTGAAAATCACCGTCTTAGAGTAAAAGTATTATAGAGAAAAATATTTTTTCAAATAATGGAACGAGATTAAAAATGGCCGATGAATATTTTGTCAAATAATGGAATAAAATTGAAAACAGTCGGATGAGTTTTTTTTTTTGCTAAATAGGTTTATTTAAATGATACAACATTTCTTTTGAGTGAAACGAAATTTGTATTTCTGTTCACAGATAGTGCGGAGGTGAACTCATACAAAATCGAGTCCCAGGACCAAACATCCCACGGGAGGAAAAAACGAAGCAGAGCTGCATTTTCGCATGCACAGGTCTACGAATTGGAAAGAAGATTCGCTGCTCAAAAGTATCTATCTGGTCCAGAAAGAGCAGATTTGGCACGAGGTCTGAAACTTACGGAGACCCAAGTGAAAATTTGGTTCCAAAATCGAAGGTACCCTTCTAAAATTGTCTTTTATCAACAATGAAAAGGAGTTATCACTGTTTTCATTAAATCATTTGTTAGCGGCACTTAGTCATCTTGTTTCGAAAATACTTTTGATGCCTGATTTTGTACAGATTTTGTCCGTCGTTAAAAAAATTCGATAGAGTTTCGAACCAAGTATATTTACGCGAGAAACATTTCTTCAGCTCATACTTTATTTGGTGCACTTATTTAAAATTGTTTTGTTGGCTCAGATACATTTTCTAAAATTAATGAAACAATTTAGTCAAGACTCTTTAGTTGATTGAACAGTCTCGTTGAACCTAAATGAAGTGTATCAAAAGTCGGTCCATTCTGCCGATACGTTTTTTGAAACGAACCAAATGCAATCTATGAAACTACTTTGAACCGAAATTCGGTTAATTTTATCGAAACGTTTTTTTGAAACGAACCAAATGCAATCTATGAAACTACTTTGAACCGAAATTCGGTTCATTTTATTGAAACGTTTTGTGAAATGAACCAACAGCAATCAATCAAACTATTTTGAACCAAAATTCGGTTCATTCTGCCGATACATTTTTTGAAACGAACCAAATGCAATATATGAATTACTTTGAACCGAAATTCGGATCATTTTGCCGGTACGTTTTTTGAAACGAACCAAATGCAATCTATGAATTACATTGAACCGAAATTCGGTTCGTTTTACCGAAACGATTTTTTAAACGAAGCAAAAGTAATCGATCAAACGACTTTGAACTGAAGCGAAGTGAAGTAAAATTCAGTTCACTACGCCGAAACGTTATTTTGAAACGAACCAAAAGGCAATCGATCAAACGCCTTAGTTAAACGAAGCAAATTTATCCTCTGGGTGTACAATTTCATTAACGTTTGTTCAGGTACAAAACCAAACGGCGACAGCAACAGGAGCTGGAAGCCTTGGTGAACTCCAGAAGTGCAAGACGGGTAGCAGTTCGAGTTTTAGTTCATCCCGATGAACATCTCAGAGCTTTGCCGGTGCCCAGATCGGATCAGCTCCTCCGGCGATCCGTAGACTCTCAAGTTTACCCCTTGAATAAAACCCTGAGTGGTTTCCCATACTATTGTCTACCTTACCATCCATTACTTTGTTCACCCTCGCACGCGGCTCAAATCCAAGTCCAAGGAGCCCTACCATGTCTCGAGCAAGAAGGAAAAGATGTGCACGTGAAGATCGATGGCCAGAAATGAAGACCTGGAAGAGGCGAAAAGAAAATGGCGTCTCTCCCTTAAGAAACTCGCAATAAATCGCGTTAGGGTTGTCGTTTATTTTTCTAAAGGTCCAGGAAAGTCTATCGCGAGCATGTTGCAAATTATGAACTGTCGAACCCGATTACGTGATGCATGCATTTTTATTTAGTCCTAATAACATTAAGGCGACCTGAAAGTGGCATCGAAGAGGCCTTCATTATGAAACATTTTTTTTTCTTCCAAAGTGGGTGCACAGAATCGTTTGCAAACCTTACGACGTAATTGCGGAGGCTCTTTTCATTTCTTTTTATCATTTATTCATAGACATTTTTAAATTTTTATATGAAATATGAAATTTCATGGGCGATAGGACCTTATTTATTTGTTGTTGAGATGATTTTGAAGTCTGAAACGATTTGCTATACCCTGCTCGGAGAAGTTTCACGAAAGATTGACCCCTTCGACGCCACTTTCATATCACCTTAGTATTAGGTCTTACCGACATTACAGTTTTTCATTTTTTTTTGTTAATATCAATGCGAGGAGTTTCGTAGAACCTTTGATATTTACGCATATGGACCAGTGGGATTACTTGTTAACTAAAGAAACACTTAAATATCTGACGTAACGCCATCTTACTCTATCCTGATGGTGTGTAAAGAGAGGTAGATAATTTTTTTACGAAGCTTCACTTAACCAAACGCAGATATCTTAATCAGTGCATGATCTCAGTGGGTTAGACTTTCAGTTGACAAATTTTCAAATAATTCTATTCAGTGGAGTTGCATTTAAATGGAAAACTGCAATGTCGGTAAGACTACTTGCCGAAAAGTCAGTCTCTAGGCTCTCTGTTGGTATTGTATCAATTTGTTTGGACACATTCGTGTATCGATTCACCCCGGTGAAATTATCGGCTCATTTTTTATGGTTTAATTGAAGGTCAAGGAGGGTTTTTGGTTTTTTGGAATCCACCCAAAGAGGGAGGGAGTAGGTGGAGGTACAAAGTGAGATGTGCGACTATATGTTCATACCGGCCCTATTGTGAGAATCGAGTACCTTTTTCTATGTAACTTCAAGACTGAAGTCTGCTTAGAATCGTCACGTGGACATTTGCATACTTAACCTCGTTAGACTCTGTGCTTACCTCTAGATGTATAGAGTATCAGTGTGTAAATCAATGTGTAAATATATGTATAAACGATTACAGGCGACACCCTTAATATTCGGAAATTCTCGACTTCGGTATCTTCAAGTTCTTCAAATTCTTCAAATTGAATTTTCCCATTTTTTCCTGCACCTCAGAAATATTAATTTCAAAGTGCAATTGTTTATATTGTTATTGTGTTATTGATATTTCATCCCAGTTCAATATTTTTACTGTTAATTATTATTGAGAGAATTAGCGTAAACGTTTTCTTGTAAGTGCGTTATTTTCTGTGTTAATTATTTTATTTAATTGTTTTTATTAATCAGGCCATTATCGCTTACGTTAAATATTATGTTGAGGTGGGAAATGGGTTGTTAAATTTTGGGGCGACGTTATAAATTGTTAACAACTTTGGCTGATGGTGGCTGATCTCGTAAGTATAGTTTCTTCGTCGTCCTGACTTTTAATGTCAGAAGTCTGCGTCTTAAAGAGATCTGTAAACAAATTGCATGCAAGCCCTGCATTCTTAAGTTCTGTACAAGATGGTTGCAATTGAACGGTAATGTTAGTGTTAAATCGTTAACAGTGTCCTTCGCTTGCAGCTCACTTACGGCATGCAATTAATCACCGAGACGTGATTACAATATCTCTACCACGTGACGAAAGTGAAATATAATTCAAGTCGAATGTAGTAAATATCTGAAATGGCTAAAGATTTGTTGAGAAATTCCATTAAACCTATTACATCTAATATAAGTGACTAATTTCTAATTAATAATCCAGTTAAGATTAATGGCTGATGTGGCTTTTATACTGATATTTGGAATAGCGTTAAAATAAGGTTTCACGTATTAGTTGCGCCATCTAGGGAGAGTTTACTGTATTACTTAGAACGAGTGTCTGTCATAACAGAGTCGTTATTCATTATCATAAATCGATAGAGAAGAACGTTGTTTCATCGATTACAGATAGAAAAGGATGAAATCCAGGAACAGAATTCATTGTTCATTCACCTCTCGGCATAATAATTTATATTCTAATAGTTTCCCGTGAAATTAGACAAACTGCGGGATTTTGAAATTCTATTCAACGCACTTTGAAATTTAAATTAGTTCACAATATGTCCGCACGATGGCGGCACGAGTCGGAATTGTAACGGTCTTCGTATTACCAATCGAGTCCGCCCATTAAATTCCGACTGAACATCGATTATTCCGTTAGAGCCGGTAACTTTCCATTGGAGCCGTCTTACCTGAACTCTGGTCGGTAAATATATTCTCTTCCTTACCGGAAACCGATTTAACCCGCCAGAAGGGTCGGTAAAGTCTCGACGAATGAAAATCCTACCCAGAGAAGTTTCCCCAGTAAAAAAACCCAGCCACGAAATGACCTTCAGCTGGGAATATCACCTTAGACATATTATCATTATTAAGTGGTATAATTAGACCGGGGCTATTTATAAAACATAAGACCTCTGTACGCGTAGCTGGAAGAGTAAGTACGAAATGAACATTTTTGAGGTTAGCTTCTGCCTCCACACCCGTCCCTCAATTCACGCGGACGAAAATCCCGTGAATAAAGTCCACCAGTAGAAAAGCAAAAAAAAACATTGGAAATAAATGCTACACGTAAGTACATGGTATCAGAAATAAATATTTGTTTCACACATCAATTTTTATTCTTTTACTCTTTAGACAATTTAACCAGCAAGGAGTTTTATGTAAAACTCGTAGGAAAATATATTGCGTAAATTGTGTCGTTATTTACCGAGCAGAAGAAAAAAAGAGAGTTGTGGAAATTGAGGGAGGCTTTGTATATGCATTTTTATATTTAAGTGAACCCTTTCTGGGGGTTGGAATGTACTAATTCCGGGCTCCTGATTGTTGCAGGAGGAATTAAAAATCCCTGGAGACGCCGGGTAACGTGCCTTAAATTCTATTAACTCAGGAATGATAAATACACGGTGTGCACTGGGTCTCATTAATGCAACGCCATTTCCGGCTTTCCGAGGAAAGAAAAATGGCCGCTCAATCTAGCCGGCTCGGCCGGTGTTTCGGTTCGAGGCATTATACATATTTATATGAATTATGATTCTAGCTTTTAGTTCTGCTCTTCCTATTCTCTCTTTTTTAACGAATTGTCCTTTATTACCTCCATTATATTCCTAGGGTATTGTTTCTAGGCCGGAAGTCTTCGGAGTAACGAATTTAGAAACACCTGTCCAGAAGATCTTGGAGCACCTGTTTTAGACGGAAGCAGACAATTTCGAAACCTAGCGGCGTTTCATTATCGCACACGTCCTACGAACTGACGGCGTTAAATTTAATACAATGCGCTGGAAGGCAATTATCAGGATAATTGACTTATTAGATCTCAAAGACGCGCCTTGGAAGTCTCTTAGTTTTATCTACTGGGTATCAAAAGTGACTTTGGAGTTGGCTTCTCAGTTTCGGGGGATATGGAAATGCTAATGTCGGGTGTACTTTGCCACGGTGTTGCGATAATTCACTTATTAGATTACTATCACTCGACTTGGCTATTCTCCTATTTCTATTATTTCTGCGTATTCAAGGGAAATTCAGAATAGCTTTAGGATTTTGCGAAGATACGTAAAGGGTAGATTAATTTGGTGTAATGCCGCGATAATTCACTTACTTGATTTCAATTACTCGATCTGCGTTGAATTGAATGATATTAAAATCTTGCCGAGAAAAAAATTTCAACTTTCATATTGAAAAAAATGCATAATTGTATTTAGAGAAAATTGTAATTTTAAAATCATACGAAGAAATTGACTAAGTTTCAAAGACACGTCTTGGGATTATCTTACCTTTATCTCATGTGCATTCGCGTCGAATTGAATGATATTAAAATCTTGCGAAGATACGCAAATGTCAGGATTGCTTTAGCACGGAATCATTTTTTTTCCCTCGGTGTAGGCAAGGATAAAATGAAGCAATAATAAATTGAACGCAAAATCCTAAGAGAGAAATCTTTATCATGAAAATATCAGAATAAAATGTCGCCTCCTCTCTTTTTTTAAGCGAAAGCGATACAAATTGATCGAGAGGGGCGTTAAGAAGTTACTCCTCAGGCTTTAGCCTGAAGGGTAACTTATACTAGATCCTTAGTGGAGTGAAATCGTTATAATTTAAAACCACGGTAAAAAAGACACAGCCGATAATTTTTGGTTAACACTAACCCCTCATAAACGTCACTTTTTCAGGATAAAAATATATATAAGGCCCTACTTAGCCTCCTTTTATTTTCGGAGTCGATCGGAGGCGTCAAGAGTTGATCGGGAGGGATGTTAAGAAATCACTTTTCAGACTTTAGCCTCAAGGGTAGCGTTTATCAAATCACTTGCTCCCTTTATTCGGTGATGCAAAAGCGTTACATTTTAGCCCGAGGTAAATGAATTTTTGCTTAGGATAAAAAATACTAGGAAATTCTGTCGCCTCGTTTTATTTCAGAAATTTAGCAAAAGTGTTAAAAGTCGATCCAGGAGGGCGAAAAGAAATCACTGCGCAAGCTCTCGCCTGAAGAGTGGCTTATCGCAAATCCTTGCTCATGCAGAATTGTCATAAATTAAATTCATGGTAAATAAGTCGAAACGCACAATTTTTACTTAACGCACATCCTTTATAAACGAAACATTTCTAGGATGAAAAATGCCAGAAGGATCTGTGGTCTCTTTTCATTTTCGAAGTCGACCAAAGGCGTCAAGGATCGATCTAGAAGAGCGCTAAAGAAATTACTGCGCAAGCTCTCGCCCAAAGGGTGGCTTATCGCAAGATCCTCGTTAATAGAAAATAGTTATAAATTAAATTCAACTTAAATAAGTCGAAACGCACAATTTTTACTTAACGCACATCTCTCTAAAACGAAACATTTCCAGGAGAAAAAATCCCATAAGAAATCACTCCGCAAGCTCTCGCCCAAAGGGTGGCTTATCACTAGATCCTCATTAATAGAGAATAGTTATAAATTAAATTCAAGGTAAATAAGTCGAAACGCACAATTTTTACTTAACGCACATCCTTTCTAAACAAACCATTTC